TGACGGCAACGACCGCACATGGTTTGCATGCATTGACGCGTTTCGCCACGAGAGGGCCCCTTCGTAGACTGTGTTCCTATTTCGCCCCGCTGCACGCGCGCAGTGTCTCGTCTCCCAAAGGCACTTGGTARCTGTTAACCGACCTCCGACAGAGGTCGGCTTTGTAGGGTATTTGAAGGTGCATTGTGAAGTCAGTGCGATGGTTGGTCTGCGCCAGGAATGACGAGCGGCGCCTTTTATTGTTCTTTTTTGAAAACGACAGTCCGTTGTCGATAGGGTTTCGCGAGTGTGTTYATTGGACGGAGTCTAGCTATGGAACGGTGTGTCCCATTGGAATGTGATGAAGCGTTTCCTCAAATATCTCTTTCTCGTGATTGGTGTGAATGTCGTTTTCTTCGTGCTGATTGTTTTTTTGTTTGGAACGGTCGTTGTTTGTCACTGCGATGGCAATGATGATCATCTGCGAGTGTGTTGATTCGACCTAGCCCAGCAATTGAACGGTGTGTCCCGTTGGAATATGACGATGCGTTCCCTCAAATCTCACTTTCTCCTGTTTGGTGTGAATGTCCTTTTCTTCGTGCTGATTGGGTGATTGTTTGGAACGGTCGTCGGTTTCCAATGGGATGACACGTATGATCTACACACCTCAGGACGGACAGCTTTGCCGGCAAGCCGATGAACTGATCCAATGATCGGTTGATCGGTTGCCCGCTAGACTCGTCCAAGCAAGGGTGTGATGCTCYGCGAGGTCGGGCATTCCTGGTGGACTGGGTTTCAGATTGTTGATGAAAGCGCACTGTGAACTGCGCAGAAAAAAACAAACCGCATTCACGCTCCAATCGTCCTGAGGAGACAACAGATCAATGGAAGGCGCACACATCGCCCCTAACGTACAAACCGCAACACGAAAAAAAAAAATAAAAAAAAATTGAAAGAGGARAAAAAGACATTTCGATTGCAATCACATACACGAAATCACAGCATCTTCACACAGCACTGATAGACGCACACACGCAGCCGGAACTCCAGTCCAAAGTACACATTTAAAAAAAGGAGAACAAAAATGAGTCACCTCCGGACTGATTMCCCCGCCGACAGACACCGTCTTCTTCGAAAACGAAATCGCGCAGCTGCGCGCACTCACTCACAACAAACCGCATCACCGGGCGCCAAAAACCTACTACAAAATGTTTAACAATAAAAAAAAAGGAAAAGAACTGCGGATGAACAGCGTCTCCGACGACGGCTCCACAACACTAGCGATCAATGACAACCCGCACTGAACGACCTCCACAAGGACGGCAGAGCCACGTGCCGTCGACGCGGCACGCGCCTTCACGCGTGTTTCATCCGCTCCGCCAACGCCTCGCGTAGCGATAACGCACGGGGCCGATTGAAGTTCTCAGCAATGGGGTGGGGTGGATGATCCAACCTTAAGTCCACTCGCCGCTGCACGCCATTAGCATCGACCCCCCACAGCAAGTTGTCGTCGAACTCCATGCCAGCGTCAAGGAGGATGTTGTGCAGAATGCACACGGCCTGGAACTGTTGTGGGAGAGTGTCCATATTCGTCTTGTGTGTGCGGAGGAACAGCCTCCACATCCCTTTCAATCTCCCGAAAGCTCTCTCCACTGCTCCCCTAGCGACCTTTTGATTGTTGTCGAACCTCTCCTCGTCGGGGATTTGATCGGTCCCCCCGTACGGCACGACAATCCACTCCAGCGGGGGATACCCGTTGTCGCCGAGAATGTAACCGTGTGTCGTCACTCCGAACGGCAGCACAACAGGAGCTCCACGAAAAAGATCCCCCTCCTCCACACGCGCCCACAAACTGGAGAGCTGAAGCACCCGAATGTCATGACAGCTCCCTGGGTAACCGGCAAAAACATCCGTGATGCGCAAGTCCAGGTCCACCACCACCTGCGCTACAACGGAGAAACGATGCTTCCGGTCAAAGTAGTTCTCCGAAGGAGCGTTCGCCGGTTTGTCGACGTAAACGTGCGTGCAGTCTATGCAGCCATAGCAGTTGGGAAAGCCCTTCGCCTCGAAGGCACGCAGAACGAGCGTACGACGCATCCCAGTAGGCCATACGATCTTGTCACTGTACACCCTCAGGAGCGCCCTCGCAACGTCCTCCACTGCGATCAACCCGGATGCACGCCCTATTCCGAATAACGACGTGCTGCTCTCGTACGTCTCACCGCTCGCCCATCGGTACAACACATATGCGATGATGTGATCCGGTTGCAAAGGAACCCTGTAGAATGTCACCCGCCGCTGCAGAAGAGGAGACAATGCCTCCACGATCTCCATGAACACCCTGGGGGTCATCCTCAACTTTTCCTTGTAGTAGTCGTCCGTGGCGTCGTCCATCTTCCGCAGATCCTCCCACGTGCCACCCGTCCTTCTCCGCATCCACCACCTTGTAGTCGCCCGCGGTATCGCCCCGGATGACATGGCGGCGCAGAACTGGGTGATGGATTCGGACATGGACACGCAGTCTGGCGCCGCCATCACGTGGTGGAGGAGCTCATGCTGCCTGCGGATAGACACTCTCGTCCTCAGCCGTGCCGTCGTTCTCTCGATGAGACATCGCATGGCCACCGCCGACACTGCTGCAACCCCCGCATTTCTCTCCACCCTGCTCAAGGTCTTGCCACGAACCTCCTGCGACACGTGTTCCATCACGATGCCCCGACGGCGCCTTGTTCAACAACCACAACCGACGGACGACTGGACCCTCGTCACACACTGTCCCAGCGGACGTTGGAGTGGACCCTCGTACACGAATGACGGGCGCGTGAAGCTATGGCGAGCCACCGGATCGTCGTCTGCAGGAAGACGAAGGCGGGACACACACCACTTCACACGCTCCAACGTCGTCACCTTTCRCGCCGCGCKGGCTGACGATCGGATGAACGAGTCGCCAACAGCGATGGGCGCCGCAAATCGTCCGCGCACACGTTTCGCACACTGGTAGCTCCAGGGGTGGTGACGCCACGGCGCGCCTTTACCTCGGCTGACGGTTTGAAATTCGAATTTTGAAAAGGAACCTTCGCGCCTCTTTTCGCAGCGAAGCATCGCGGGCCTCCTTGCGCCGCCAGTGGACCACGCCCGACGACGGACGGACATCCCTCGACGACGACGGACATCCTCTNCAGCGCAGCATCGCGGGCCTCCTTGCGCCGCCAGTGGACCACGCCCGACGACGGACGGACATCCCTCGACGACGACGGACATCCTCTCCCGCGGCCTCGCATATGCGTATGAAATTGGCCGCGGGATACCTCCAAGGTTTTTCCTTGGGACCCTTTCGTTTAGGATGCGGTGTAACGACACCGCCGAATTCCTTGAAATTTTCCAAGGACTTCGTCCTAATTCCTGAGGATTTTTCAAGGAGGGTCTAACGAGGCCCTTAGACCCCTAGTGTGAGTATGCCCTAAGGAAAGAAAAGAAAGAGCTGTACAGGAAAAGGCAGAAGAATGGTTTCGGTGTGCTTCATGTTGTCTTCTATTTCTTTCATTTGTTTCGCGAAGTGTGCTCTTTTTCATTTGTTTCGTGAAGTGCGCTCTTTTTCATTTGTCTCGCAAAGTGCGCTCTTTTAGTTGATAGATATGTGACAAGATATATACATGATGTCATAGAGAAGTCCGCAGTGGACCGTAAGCATAGAGGGAGAAAAGGACAACAAACAAGGGTCTGTGACGGACTGTTTCGTCGGAGTTTCACTGACTCATCAGGAGGCTGATCCCTCTACAGTCTGCCGAGCCCCATAACCAATAATACTGTAAGTGATAGTCGATCTTAAAGCTGGTTGGGGTTCAACCACAAGGACATTTACCAGCCATTTTCCAGAATCGCGCTGTGCATGCTGGCACATCAGGCGGGATGCACCAGGGTGCCATCTCGCCCAAAATCAAAAAGGCAAATCGGGCCTCGCATGCAACCCGTTTTGCCTGGATGGATTTCAGGCGAAACGGCACCCTGCTGCATCCTGCTTGAGATGCCAGCATGCACAGCGTGTTTCTGCAAAATGGCTGGGAAGTGTACGGGTGGTTTAAGCATCAACGACTGCCCGGCAACTGATACCCTGAAGCGGGCGCCAACCACTACCCTTAAACCACCAGCTCACCGGAGCCTGGCGGACTTGGATTGAGAGCCGAGTTTAGCTGAACCGCCAGCGGTGCACATTTTCTCTTTTTTGGCTTTTGCCGCCAGCCACTGTGGTCCGGGAGCCCCAAGCCTCCAAAATTTTAGGAGTGAGCCATGAGTTTTTTGAAGCTGGCTGGGGCCTTGTGCTAGCGGTTAAAGGGTACCTGTGATGAAAATCAAAGCAACCTATCACTCACGCACACCAGAAAGAAGACTACACATACAGCAGGTTCACACCCCATCATAAGCCGGCAACCCCCCACGAAACAAAGGAAGGTCTGTCACAGCCAGAAATGCACTCCAGAGTCCAGACACACTGTTGGCAATAGAGGCACAGCACGTCCACGTAGTGACAGCTTTGACCACTGCTGTTTAGCCTGACTTGAGGAAAATGTAGTAGGAGCAGGCAGAGAGGGAGAAAAGAACAACAAACAAGGGGAGCAACTCCGATGAAACAGCCACTTGTCTGTCTGTCCTCTCCTCCCTCTCTCCCTACGGCTCACCGGGCAGTTCTCTATGACGATATATATTACATAAACCGTCATATAGAACTTCCCGGTGAACTACAGGTAGGACAACAAAAGAGGGGCTGTGCCAGACTGTTCCGTCAGAGTTTCACCAACTGACAAGGAGGCCGAACCCTCTGCAGTCTGCGGAGTCTCCTAACCTATGATACTGTAAGTGATAATCCACCTTAACCCCGGTTGTGGTTAAGCATCAATAACTGCCCTACAACTGATACCCTGAGGTGGGCACCAGCCACTGCCCTACCCTCAAGGTACCTGTGACGAAAATTAAAGCAGGTTATCACTCACCCACATGGGATGGAAAACTCCACAGACTGTTCACCACCCATCATAAGCCAGCAAAAGACCCAGGAAAGAAACAAAAGCCTGTCAAAGACAGAAAATACACTTCAGACATGCCGCTGGCACTAGCTGAGGGCTTTCAGAAACAATCGCTTCGGAGCCCCATCATGCTCAGATACATACATAATGTGACCCTGCATTCTCTTTTGGAGGGCCCATAAAGGCTTCCAGCTGAGGGCTGTGACCCTGCATGCTCTTTTGGGGGGGCCATAAAGGCTTCCAGCTGAGGGCTTTTGCGCTCCACAGAAGGTAGTTCTGTTTTATTTTCCTCTTTTCTTTTTGCTTTTCGTTTTTTTTCTGTTTCTTCTAGTTGTTTGTCAGATACTTTAGCAGATGTTTCTACGCCGTGGTTTCATCGTTTGTGTTGGCTGTGCGGCTGCAGGAGTCCTTGAGGATGTACTCTATGACAGTGACAGCGAATTAGGCGTTGCTGGCAATGTGGAAAGTGAGAGGGTRGGCAAGAGGGGSAAGCCAGGAGGGAAGCAGCAGAAAGATGACGACGATGACCAMTCGGAGGACTACAAGTTTGRAGGAGGGTGGAGTGATGAAGAGTACAGTCCCATATCGAAGAGGGCAAGGGTAGGCAGAGGAGATGGCCAAAAGGGAGGAAGAAAGGTTGGAGGAGGTGGAGGGAGAAAGTTCACAAAGAGAGAGAAAGAAACTGCATTGAAAGGTAGAGGTCCAAAGAGAGCTGCCCGCGGCAAGAAAGGCACACACAGGAGGGCAGGAAAGCGCAGGAGATCAAAAGCCAAGCTGAAAGCTAGCGGAAGTGGAAAGGGCAGAGGCACAGGGCTTCAAGGGAAAGAAGGGAAACAGAGAACAAAGGAGAGTTTCAAAGGCATGTGAAAACATTAGTTGAGGAGGGGACTGTTTCTTCATGGAAAGAAAACATACAGACAAAGGAGAGTTTCAAA